AACCGCAGTGCAGTCACTGTCCATCAGTGTAGTAAGATGCCACAGATCCACTATTTGCCTCCTCTGTGCTACACTGTCTTCCCCGTGAACCCCCTACACCGTGCATACTAAACATAATACCTCTCAATCCCCTTCTCACTCCCTCCCCACCCACCCTCCCACACCCCTCCCCTTTGGTAATCTCTAGTTCCTTCTTGGAGTCTGTGAGTCTGCTGCTGTTTTATTCCTTCAGCTTTGCTTCATTGTTATACTCCACAAATGAGGGAAATCATTTGGCACTTGTCTTTCTCTGCCTGACTTATTTCACTATGCATAATATCTTCCAGCTCCATCCATGTTGCAAATGGTAGAATTTGTTTCTTTCTTATGGCTGAATAGTATTCCATTGTGTGTATGTACCACATCTTCTTTATCCATTCATCTACTGATGGACACTTAGGTTGCTTCCATATATTGGCTATTGTAAATAGTGCTGCAGTGAACATAGGGGTGCATATGTCTTTTTGAATCTGAGAACTTCTATTCTTTGGGTAAATTCCAAGGAGTGGGATTCCCAGGTCAAATGGTATTTCTATTTTTAGTTTTTTGAGGAACCTCTATATTACTTTCCACAATGGTTGAACTAGCTTACATTCCCACCAGCAGTGTAGGAGGGTTCCCCTTTCTCCGCATCCTTGCTAGCATTTGTTGCTCTTAGTCTTTTCAATGCTCGCCATCCTAACTGGTGTGAGGTGATAATCTCATTGTGGTTTTAATTTGCATTTCCCTGATGACTAGTGATGTGAAGCATCTTTTCATGTGTCGGTTGGCCATCTGAATTTCTTCTTTGGACAATTGTCTGTTCATATGCTCTGCCCATTTTTTAGTAGGGTTATTTGCTTTTTGGGTGTTGACGCATGTGAGTTGTTTGTAATATACATTTTGGATGTCAACCCCTTGTTGGATATGTCGTTTACAAATATATTCTCCCATACTGTAGGATGCCTTTTCATTCTGTTGATGGTGTCCTTTGCTGTACAGAAGCTTTCTAGTTTGGTGCAGTCCCATGTGTTCATTTTTGCTTTTGTTTCCCTTGCTCGAGGAGATGCATTCAGGAAGAAGTTGCTCATGTTTATATTTTTGCCTATGTTTTCTTCTAAGACTTTTATGGTTTCATGACTTACATTCAGGTCTTTGATCCATTTCGAGTTTACTTTTGTGTATGGGGTTAAACAATAATCCAGTTTCATTCTCTTGCATGTAGCTGTCCAGTTTTGCCAATACCAGTTGTTGAAGAGGATGTAATTTCCCCATTGTATGTTCATGGCTCCTTTATCATATAGTAATTGACCATTTATGGTTGGCTTTATATCTGGGCTCTCTAGTCTGTTCCATTGGTCTATTGTTCTGTTCTGTGCCAGTACCAAATTGTCTTGATTACTGTGGCTTTGCAGTAGAGCTTGAAGTTGGGGAGCATAATCACCCCAGTTTTATTCTTCCTTTTCAGGATTGCTTTAGCTATTTGGGGTCTTTTGTGGTTCCATATGAATTTTAGAACAACTTGCTCTAGTTCATTGAAGAGTGCTGTTGATATTTTGATGGGAATTGCATTGAATCTGTAGATTGCTTTAGGCAGGATGGCCATTTTGACAATACTAATTCTTCCTATCTGGATGTTTCCATTTATTGGTATCTTCTTTAATTTATCTCATGAGTGTCTTGTGGTTTTCAGAGTATAGGTCTTTCACGTCCTTGGTTAGATTTATTCGCAGGTATTTTATTCTTTTTGATGCAATTGTGATTGGAATTGTTTTTCTGATTTCTCTTTCTGCTAATTCATTGTTAGTGTATAGGAATGCAACAGATTTCTGTAGATTAATTTTGTATCCTGCAAATTTGCTGAATTCAGAGATTAGACCTAGTAGTTTGGGGTAGATTCTTTAGGGTTTTTTATGTACAGTATATCATGTCATCTGCAAACAGTGACACTTTAAATTCTTCCATACCAATCTGGATGCCCTTTATTTCTTTGTGTTGTCTAATGCTGTGGCAAGGACCTCCAGAACTATGTTGAATAAAAGTGGAGAGAGTGGGCATCCTTGTCTTGTTCCTGATCTTAAAGAATCACTTTTTTCTGGCTTCTCCTGAGAATAGTTTCTCCCATTGTGCCCAGTTGACCAAGAGGATAGAGAAAGCTTCTTCAGACTCTTTCACCTCCTCTTAGGAGGCCAGTTTGCCTCTGCAGCTCAGGAAGAACAAAGGGAGCCTGCCACATGGCTCACTGCTCTCCATAGCCCCAGTCTCCAGTTGACCTTGGTGGCTGCCCCTGGGAACATCCCTCTCTCCCATTTCTAGCTGTGTGTTGGCCTTGCCTGTCTGGGACTGGGCCCCAGAGGAGGCCAGGTGCCTTGATAACTTCCCTTCCCCTTCAGGAAGCTTCTGTTAATTATTACTCGTAGGAAACATAATAGGAAGCATGAAAACAGTAATTCTCAAGGCATTGGGGAAGAAATGATTTCCTTAGGAAAGTTGGTTAGAATCTCTTGCAGAAGATTTTATAATCACCACTTCTCTAACCCTGATAAGTGAGATACTCCTTGTAGGAGAGAACCAGAGGGGAAACTGCTGAAAACCACTGATTCAGAATTGCACTATCCAGTGGAGGAGCCACTAGCCACGTGGGGCTCTTGTGCTCTTGAAGTGTAGCTAATAAAATACCCACTGGCTTTTAAAGGCTTGATACCAAAAGAATGCAAAGTATCTCAATAATTTTTGTATCAGTTATGTTTACATCAGTTGAAGTATAATTTTGAATATGTTGAAGTAAACAAAATGTACTTAAGTTAAATTCACCTGTCTCTTTTTACTTTTTAAAATGTGGCTACTACAAAACTTAAAGTTGCATTTGTGGCTCACGTTATAGATCTCCTAGGCAGCGCTGATCTGGAAGATCCTTGTTCCTTTGGGGGTTCTGAGTTAGAGCAGATGGGTGGGATGCCAAGTCCAATCCGAGAAGGCTGCTATGTTGCTCTGGAGAGGTCTGCATAGGGCCCAGCCACAGCTTGGAAGCCAGAGCCAGGCCACTGCTGGGGGTGCTGGCCCCTGAGAGACAGCACAAAAACAAATAGTGTTCTAGGAGCTGCTGGGACAGTACACTTGTGATAATTTGAGTCGAACTGTAGATTCTGTCTGCAGCCTGCCTCTGCTGGTCAGGTTGTTTTCACCTGACTCAGGGACACAGACATGACTTCATTCATCCCTGAAGATGCGTGGTGCCCACGGCCCCCAACCGTAAGCAGGAAGAAAAATGTCATTCCCAAATGGGAAAAATAAAAATGGGTTTTTCAAGGACCCATGTCATCAGCAATAACCTCAAATGGTCCTTGTCCTCCTGATTGCTTTCTCCAGAGTGCCCCCTAATCAGCACGTGCATTTCATATCCACCTTCATGTTAGTTTGGACACACAGGGAACAGCTTTTAGAATGCTGTTTTGGTGCTGTCTCTCAGGGGCTGGTACCCCCAGCAGTGGCCTTGCTGTGGTGTCCAAGCTGGACCACATGCAGACTTCTCCAGAGTAACAAGACCGCCTCCTTGGGTCCGACTTGGTGTGCCACCTCCCTGCTCTAATCTGAACCCCCTGCCCTAACAAATGGCACTTGATTCTACGTTTAGTTCCCTCTGTGCCCACTTTTACCCCAACTTTAATTTCATCCTCACAGCGTTTTTAACTGATACCTTCTTGCCATTACCTTGGGTGATAAGGACATCAATGATCAATTAAATCTATTTTCTGACTAATATAACGTAAATACATTCCTAATTTACAAACTTCAAGTACCAGCCTATATTAATAAGCAACATTTCCTCAGCTTCCCTGAACCGGAACTAAGGGAGAACAGGAAGATTTGTTCAATCTGCCTCTCCAGCGCTCTGTCCTTCCTGCTAAACCCAGTGGGAGCTGAGGGGCTTGGGCTTCCAGCAGGCCGCCTGGTGACTTGGACAAGGAGCACGACCTCCCTGCCCCTCCTTTCCTTCCTGCAAAGTGGGGAGAGTATGAGCACCTACTTCCGACATTGTGCAAGGACTGAATGAATGAGTGCACATCAACTGCACGTTAGTATTTGGTGCACAACACAGATACACTTGCTTAACATATGAGAAAATAGTCTATATTCTATTTTGAAGCTTGTTGTTTCAACTCAGTAATACCTGTAGAGTATCTTTATTTTATTTTATAACAGTATTTTAATGACCTGATATTGTGCTTTTATATGAATATATTGCACCTGGTTTAAATTGATCTGCTATAGGATTTTTAAGTTTTCTTTTTCTTTCCTTCCCTTTCTTCCTCTCGGCTTTCTTTTTTCCTTCCTTCCTTTCTCCCTTCCATTCTTTCTTTTTTGCTATTGTAGACAGTGAGGAAATGAACATCTATGCAGCTAAATCTTTGTCCACATTATTGAGTATTTCCTTAGGGTAAATTCAAGGAAAATGAAATTACTACAGCAAACCTATTTACATTACTAAGGTTTGGGTAATGTTGTCAAACCCTTGACATGTTATTCTAGAATTGTCCATATCACCCTCCTGCCTATGAGAGTAGGTGTCAGGATTAAGAGCTGCCAGCATCCACCTCCCACCACCCAGAAGGCACAGTTCCCAGCCTCGGGGCTCACAGTGCTTCCTTCCCTCCGCTCGCTCCTGACCTCCATCCCCTACAACCCGCGATCCACCCAGACGCCAGAGGGTCCAGTGTTCTTCCCTGAGCCCCATGCTGATCTCTTTCTAGCAATTCTTGTGATTTATTCACTTACTGTAAAATGTGATCCTATGTAGTATTGTCACTTCATGGTTTGTACACAGGATTGCAAGAAACATTACACTGGGAAAAAAGAAAGGTGAAATTATTGTACGTGAATCTACTTCTTTACTGAGATATCTCATCAGGGCTTTTCTGAAAGTTTACTTCTTCTTTCCGAGGCCAGCAAGTTCTCACTGATGCATTTTCTTACTGTTTCAGCTCCTATAAGGAATCACTGGTCAGAAAATAACACTGAGCCCCACACAGAAAACATCGCCTTTGATCAGAATCAAGTGGACTTCTCAACAGTGGTCTCCAAAGAGGATGTGGTGGATCAGACCCCAGGAAACAGCCAGCCTTCTTCAAATGTTCCAGAAGACTTTACTCCACAAACTGAACCAGCAAATGCTAGAGGAAGAAGTGGCTCTCTAAGGAGAGCAGATTTCACCATTTCCCCTGTTGGGCCTGAGGAAGCAACAGCCCTAACTTCTCAGGGTGTCACTTCAGGTGCGTTTGTGCTGAGGATGTTCCTTTCGTTACTGTGTGTCCAGTCCTGGAAAACAACATTTCTGCCCATCTCCCTCATGCTGCATCCTGGGCTGGGGTGGATCAGACCTGTGCCTTGGGCTCCATCTGTGGCACGCTGTGGTTCACTGAGTTATAAGTCTAGACTGCATTGAAGTGCAGATTTGCTGAGAGGCCTGACCAGTTCTTGGAACCTATACTCCATGGCTAGATTGCCTCCATCCAGACTAGGTCTGGCAATCTCGCCACACTGCAGGCTCAGAGGCAGCAGTGGGGTGGGCTGTGTGTCTGCGTGTTCTTGTTGATGTGGTTCAGATGGCTATCCTTGCTCCCAGGGGCACAGCTCAGCAGCTTGCCATTTTTAGCAAAGCGTTTCAAGAAGGGCTGGGGCAAGATCTGATTGAGGAAGGGAAGACCCAGAAAACTGGCACTAAGTAGGTGCCTACTGCTGCACACCAAGATGTCTGTTCTCCCCATTCTCACAGCAAGCCAGTAAGGTCACATTATTCTAATTTTAGGTGTTTGGAAACTGAAGCTAGAGAAGTTAATTAATCCAGTGTGTGCAGGTCAAGCCACTAATAGGTTTCAGAGCTTGGATCAGAGCCTAAGTCTGTGTCTGAGTGAGGTGGTCAGGGATACCTGAGGAGTGGGATGCCTGGAACATGTGAATGCAGATACAGAGGCAAGAGGAGAAGCGTGGCCTCTTTGCAGAGTGGCAAGGCCAGTAGCCTCCTTTGCTGGGGGGCGTAAGTCACACCCAGAAGAGGACGTGCAGGTGGGCCATTGTGTGGATGGGGTTAGGGACAACGATGGAGTGATGCAGGGCTTTGACAGCCAGGCAGTTTAGACTTGGTGTGTGGGGAGGTGTCACTGAAGGTTTCTGAACAAGGCAGTGACATGATGGAAGCCAACCGGGCAGGACTCACCTGGCAGGCAAAGATGTCTAGGCTGGGGAATGGGGCAGAGGGAACCTGGAGTCAGGGGGACCTCCCAGAAGACACAGAAATCCAGATACCAGGTGCAGAATATGGCCTGTGGGGCCTCAGGGATGGAGCGGAAGGCTCTAGTAAAGACTCTGCCCAAAGGGAACTGATACAATTTGGTAAAGGCCTAAAAGTAGCAGATGAAGCCATTAAAGATGACCCCATGGTTTCATGCCCTAGTGTCAGGAGATCTGGCTGGGGGACTCAGTGCCGTAAGAAGTATGTATGACAGCATTGTATGTTGCATTCATGAATGATGGATATTGCTTAGAAACCACACATGCTGCTGCCTGGCTTTGCTGCCAGATATTGGGGATTTGGTTTGTGTTGAACTTGTCTGTGTTCAAGTAAATTGTGGGACCATCTTTTGGGATATGAATGATGAGTCGTGATGATCAGAAACCAATCTCTGATTCCCTGTCAGCTGATGCTTAGCCTCATTGTGCCCCTCTTCTGATAAGTTCAGCACAAAATGCTAAGTGTTTGTGAACTCTGAAAATAGTCTTTGTCTTGGTTTGTGGTCCCTCATTCAGGAGTTAATTTTTCAAAGAGTGAATAATTGCTCCTAATATTCTGACATGTCTATTTCATAGAGGTCAGAAAGGAGCCCAATAAGAGACTATTCAGAACTTTGGAAGTGTGCTGGTGGAATTTTAATTGTTGCTGTCTGCTTTCAGCCTTGGGAAAGCGTCACCTGCTATCCAGTAATTCAGGGTTAGAAGGAAGAACTGCCCCTTCTCACATGGAGAGCATGACATCCCAGGGTCCCCTAATGAGGAGGAAGGGGCTTCCAGAAGAAGTGACTGTGCACACCCAAGTGGCTGCCACTTCGGGGCTGAGCCAGTCCTCTCTTCCGGCTTTGGAGGTGGGAGAAGAGACCATCCCTTCCAGGAGAAGCTCCTTGGAACCAGAGCCCTCCTGGCTGCCTTCCTCCAGGACCCTGGCTTTCTCCCTGCCCTCAGACCATTCCGCAGGTGAGTACTCCTATCCCAGCTTAACCCTGGAGAGTCATTCAAAAGAGAAATAGACCGTGTAGTAAGCTAGGCACACACCAGTCACAGGGGCTAAGGACGAGGGTAACACAAGTGCAAAGTGTTGGGGCAAAAGGACAACCTGCACAATTTATCTTGGTGTTGAAGTTCGTCTTTAAAATATGTTTTAACTGTCTAAGGAGGAAAGTAATAGTTTGTTTGGTGGCTGCTCTGGGCCTGTCTGTCCACCAACTG